TCCTCAGATTTTCGATCAAGTATCTCTATCTATTCAGGAAGTCTGTAAACATTGATTGCCTTAAAGTTGCTCTCTCCAGACTTCTTGTATATTACTATCCATTAGCTGGGAGGTTAAAGAAAAGCCCGGAGAATGATCATAAACTTGAAGTTGAGTGCAATGGAGAAGGTGCAGTGTTTGCTGAAGGTTTTATGGATTTAACTGCTGATGAGTTTGCTGAAATTTTCCAAAAGCCAAACAGGACTTTTAGGAAACTCTTGTACAAGGTCGAAGCTCCAAGTTTCTTGGATATACCTCCTCTAGTAGTTCAGGTCAGCTTCTCAAAATGATCCTTTCAGATTTTCTGTTTTTCATAGTGAACATAATATAGTCATCGTACCTATCAGATAATTGATAATTAATCCGGAATACTACTTGCTAATTCTTCATTTTTTTTGTTTCCTAATATGGCTTTTGGCTCTCGAATTAATACTCCTTTTGATTTTATTTTAGTTTTTGATTTGATGGTATCTGCAGGACAACTAGTGTGTCCAATGTTAGAAGTTCACTAGTATTAGAACGCTAAGGAAGTAAGGAGTCAACCCATATATTAATTAAACTATTTTGTTGGCTTCCAAAATAGTTTTGCCTCTTGATTATCTTCTCACCATTTATTCTTGTATGATTTCAACATCGGATGATGCTAACGGATAGCAAGGTAAAAAGGTACTAGTATTGTATATTCCATGTTTTGTTCGGAGATGATCACCATTCACTGCTTAGGAATTGAAGCTGGTTCAAATATGCAAAATAGGATTTACCAATTATAGAATAAATTTGGGAAAGGATTTGTATACCTCAAGAAGAAAATTTTTTTTTTTTTTTTTAAGGTCCTAAGATAACTCAAATTTCATTTTCAATCAAACATCCCGGGTGGAGATGGTTCCAAGACAAACATGTGGAACTTTGCCTCGGCCAACACTCCCAAACTGAAGCAGCTTAAAGAAAGTTTCCCAGTCTTTTGTTTTAACAAAAACCTTCATATGATCTCCACTGCATGTAGGGTACCCCTGTTGTCTTTTTTGCTGTATGCAATCCCAAGTTCTTCATACACCATCAATTCTCTTTTCTATTTGTATCATCTTTACATTTTACTCTTTGGCCTCCTCCTCCTTTTGGAGGACTAATTTGGCTTCATCATGGTTCATTTTTTGGTTTCTGAGCTCTCCTTGTACCAAGTACCGTACTATAAAATCTGGCATGTAAATGTAATTCATAAATCTGTAAGAAAGGACAAATGTAATTTATAATTCCGCGGGAACACGTTTTTTTAATCAGTTTTTCTACTTCACATGTGTCAAATCGATATAATACATTTTTTTCACAAAACTTTAAAAAATAACAATCGAAACGGGCTCTAATGGTGTTGTTTGTGCGCTTACCCAAAACGTAAAATCGTGTTACACTCAGACATACTGGTTGATTTTTCGTCCAAGCTTTTCTAGTGCCATCCGTAATGGCTGGCTCAGCTATTGATTAGTGATAGCCTTATCTGTTTTCTATCAAAATCAAAGAAAAGAAAAGCAATAAAATTCCTACCCACCTCTAGCTACAACTTAGCACAGTATAACTTAATCAACAACATAAAAATATGTAGAATAAAAGAAAAAACAAATCCAGGCTACCCTGTTGGATAAGGAAAATATTAATTGATGCATAACTGCTCTGAGTCTGAGATAAGTCCTGGCTCCAGCATGTGGGTGTCCCCCACGAACTCTGCAGCAATCGATATTGGCTTTCTTTCTTCTGTTCCTTTCATTAGCTCGGCTGGTGCGGTGACCCTCAATCTTTTCTTTTTTTCTCAGAATTTATCAAATGACAGGAGTACCCTCGTCATAATTTCAATATAATATACCCTCACTTTTGCCTAATTTTCTTTTTACTTTTTCACTGATGCCAGGTCACCAACCTCCGTCGCGGAGGAATGGTTCTCTGCACCGCGATCAATCACGGTCTCTGTGATGGCGTTGGCACGTCCCAGTTCCTGCATGCTTGGGCCCACCTGGTCACGAGACCTAACAGTGATCTACCAATCACCCCCTCCCACTTCCGTCACGTGCTGAAACCCCGAAATCCTGCACAAGTTACTTTCCCTCACCCCACATTCACCGAATCAAAACCCGACAACCCCATTTCTCGATTGGACCCCAACATTTACCAATATTTACAATCTCAACCCCTTGTTCCCGCATCCATAACTTTTAACCCCTCCGAAATTCTTAACCTCAGGAGGCAATGCATGCCCTCGCTAAAATGCACCGCCTTTGAGGTCTTAGCATCTCACACGTGGCGATGTTGGGTTAAAGCGCTCGGCTTGCCATCCTCAAATAAAGTGAAGCTTCTGTTTTCGGTGAATATCAGAAAAACATTAAACTACGAAATCCCGCAGGGCTTTTATGGGAATGCATTCGTGCTAGGATGCGCCGAGGCCACGGCCCAAGAATTGGTGGAGGACAACCTGCATGGTGGGGTGAAATTGGTGCAACATGCAAAATCGATTTTAACCGGGGAATATGTGAAGTCTATGATCGATCATTTGGAGGACAAAACGTTGAAGACGGACCTTTCTTGCAGCTTGGTAATTTCCCAGTGGTCAAAATTAGGATTAGAGGACTTGGATTTTGGGGAAGGAAAGGCTTTGCAAATGGGCCCTCTAACTAGTGATATTTACTGCTTGTTTTTACCGGTTATCGGAGATTGTGATGCTATTAGAGTTCTTGTGTCGATGCCGGAAAGCGTGGTGGATAAGTTTGAGCATTACATGACCAAGTTTTCTTCACATGATAGTGAACGAAATGGACCAGATGCAAATGGTCTCGACAATGTTGAGACGAATGGATTCTGAGCTAATTGAAAATTTTAATTCTTTTTTGTTTTAAACTTTGTACTTGGAGATTGGAGAGTGACTAGTAAATGTTGCTTGCATTTTTGTGTATGGTATTGAGGAATCAATAAGCTAACTGGTTAAATTAAAATCTCTGTCCGATTATCATGTCTCTTTTATTTTTGCTTTTTCCGTGACTTTGTAGATCGTAGCCCTTCATTTTCTCCTCCAAATGGGATCTCACCTCTCAAGCGAGCTCTAATTAGCATTTAAGGGGCGAAGGTGTCGAATTTTGAAAATAGTTTTGCGCAAATATATAGGGACAAAGAACTTGTCCCAGTGAAATAAATAAATAAATTCATGGGGGGCAAAAGATGCTATGCATCTCAATGGGATTTATACATTTGGGGCATTCCTTAATTTTTTTTGAAAGAAGGGCATACCTTAATATTGTCGCACATATCTTGGAAAAGCCTCAAAATGCAAAATTGTTTTCTTAGTCCAATTTTCTAGGTGACAAAACATACTATATGTCCCGTTGCAAATGAGTTTTTTTTGTGTTTGTTTAAAATTTATTGTAGTTTACTGTAAAAGTCGTAGGAAAAATTTTTTAAGTGTGTAAATTTTTGGATATTTTGAAGTATATAGTTTAATAACTTTGAGAAATTTTTTGATATTACTGTAAATAAAAAATTTATAGCAGACAAATTTGATCAAAAACTTATTTGCCAAACAGGCGGAGTTTATTTAATATTTAAGTGAAGTTGACTGGCTCAACAGATTTAGGTATACCCTCCTCTTCACCATGTTTTACCTCACTTTGTCAACAGTTTTTTTTTTTTTTTAATCACTAATTGCCAATTGAAGTGGATCTTAGCCTACGCCGTAGTGTTCATATCTAGAGTAAATAATCCATTTTCGACCAATTGAAGAAAACGTTTACTATTTTACCAGAATGTTTTCCAGGAATAATATCTAAAAGATTTTTCCCACTTGCCTTGCAATCTCCCATGTGGTTTTCTCTGTTTCTTGAGACCAAATTCATGTCATTGTCTTCTAACAATATGTCTTGTACGAAATCAACTTACTTTTGCCCCAAACTATCGAGAATATAAAAGGATAGTGGTCTCAAGAACATGAGGCCACATGTAATTTTCATTAACCTGTCCTCCCACTCTCCTTGAAAAATCGTTGCTAAGAGCATTGGTAACCTCCAGTTCCACCTCTTCTAACATCTTTGTCTGTCCATCTTTGGCCCATACGCAAAGTGAAGCATCACTCTCGATCCTCTGTTTCTGTGTCCTGGTGTGCTTTCTAAGCTCTAGCTAAGCTACTTGCAAGTCCCTTTTTACATCAGCAGTCAACATTTGTCCTTAATCTAAACAGTCACAGGATTAGGTTTGTGCTTAATGCTTATGATAGGCTGACAGCATGCTATCAAGATAAGTGCAATTGCGAATATGGAATGGCATTTCAGACTTGGCTTTTTCTTTCGGCGGTTATAGCCGGCCTATGGAGGCAGTTAATTAAGCATGGACTAATGTTTGGCTTTTCTTTCGGGTTTGCCAATCTAAAAGTATAAATAAGTCTAATCAAACCGAACACTGCAATGTTCAAACTTTTTTTTATTAATTCTGTTCAAGCTTTGCCTGGTTTGATTATTAATTAGATAAGTTCAATCGAGTTTGCTTCGAGTAGTTTGAATTTTTTTTACAGATAAAAAATCTTCTAATTTTATGCTAATTGAGCCAAGTTCAAACTGAATATGAAAGTTACCGAACACGAAATATTATTCAAGTTTGAGTTGATTAGTTGAAAAACCAAAACTTGAACGACCTCTTAACAAGCCGAACTCAGTTCGAGTATCGAATAATTTGGTTCGTCTTTCAGTTATAAACCAACCATCCAGCACGTTCATCAATATCTTTTCTCCTTGTGACCTGCTTGAAGTTCAAGGATCGTTAATTGCAAGAAATGGACTATCGCGATATTGAGTAGTTAGTATTACCAATGACAGGGAAAGTGATTACTCATCATCAAAATTCAATGTGTGTATTATAATGTGCTAATAAAGAATATTAAATGCTATCAGTAGAATATCACTTTTGAGCTGAATTATGACCCATCATTATCGTTGATGCATGATGATATTATTGTTATTGAACTTAGTGCTGCTTCATCTTCAAAAGCACATCATGCTCCTTATCTCCCGTGTTATCATTTTAGCCGATGTGGCTTACATAAACTAACTAAAAAATTATCAACAATGCAAGTTGGAGTTCAATATTCTCTCACTTTTTCGTTCCTTGCCAACTTTCGCATCCTACAGGTTCAAGGCAATTGTGGTTTCAAAGGTGGGATACAATACAGCAGAATTCTACAGATATCTATTGTTTTCCTCAGCAGGGTCGCAATTAAAACAGCATAAGATTAGGATGGTTTGTTAAGTTGATATGATCGATGGATGTCATCAAAACATTTTCAAGTTACTCAAAAAGAACTACAGTACGTACGATTTAAATTCATTTGCAAGAAACAGTACTACTGCCATTAGATCACAGAATATCAAAAAGAGGAAACCTGATTCTTGAAAAAAGAAATTCATGCATCTTTTTATAGGAGTCAATCAAACTGCTTTATGCCAGAAAGCGATCACGCTAGGATAAATTACGATAGATGCAATGAACTCGCATAATTCTCTGGCACATAAAAATGGAGGCCGACGAAAAAATTAACGCCATCACGGGGGCCAATAATTAACGCCACTACAGAATTTTGTTATCTTCGTTTAATGGTCGAACAAAGAAGAAACGATGGCTCATTCTTCCCCGCAGTATAGCTTGATTAATAAGGATCACACATCCAGAACATGTAAAAGAAAATAAAATAATGCACCCGTGGGTTTCAAAGTTAAAAGCTTCTGGCTTCCGAGTCTATTCTAATAATTGGTTGAAGCTTGCCCTAAAGCTTTCTTTTTTTTGACTATTCATTCAACCCCCAAATTAAGAAAAAAAATCTATGCATGTACACACAAAGCCAATTAATTCAATGGTTAAACAAATTAAAGTACATGATTGTGAAGCAATACAAAGAGTATTAAAAATGTCGAATTTCTTCCAAGGATCTTCTAAACTTCTACAAGTAGCATTTCAAAAAACCATGGATTGTTTTAGAATGAGAATGAGAAATGTGTTGTTTAAGGTAATATATTCTTTGCCACAAAAAAAAAATTGTTTTACATATCTACACAATCTTTATTGTTTTAGTGACCATGTTCCAACATGCCATGCGAGTTATAAGCTTCTGTATTTGTCAACTAAGGCATGGCATGAAAGATACCCCAAGTTTAAAACTACCTTATTGAATAGTTTAGATGTAAAACTACCTTGTAAAATGCTTCTTATCGAAAAAAAAATACAACTAAGTAGCTCACTCTTGTGTTCATTATTACTTTTTTAAAAAAAAATTTCTAACATGAAAGGAGTGAAATTTAAGAAATAGGAAAGAAACAGTAAATTAGAACCTGAAACCTCTGCATTCAGGGGCATATTTTTTATTCAATATTACTTTAGTCAAGTTAGCAGTATATTTTCTTAGATTTTTTCATACAATTTTAATAGTTCTGAATTGTAGTTTATTTGTAAATTTTTATTTACTTATATCATCAATATATTTTCAAACATTTTTTTATCTCACATGCATTATATAAAAAAAAAAGTGATTTATTATCCAAACACACTCAGTAGTATCTTTGTGGACACTCAGTAAGATATTTACTTCAGAGCTTCAAAGATAACAGTTGTAGCCTATCTATATGTAGCATCTACAGGCTTTGATTATCTGGCCTTCGAGCATGTTTACTACTGTATAACCAGTCGCTAATCATCCTCAGGAATGATGCCCCACTTTTGGTTGGGATTTTGTCGTTGACTCGTGAAGGTGGAGAATCAATTTAAGTCAGATTGGAATATATTGTTGCTTGTTTGTCTGTATACCTAAAACATAAGATCGACTTGACGAAATTATGGCCGAACAAACGTCTAGAATGCGTCTTGCCACGTTTGGTGATGCGCTGTGCATTAGAGAGCATTGGGATAAATAAAATCAATATTCTTTCATTCTCATATTTTAAGAGAGAATATCTTTTTTTTTAGCACAAGAGAATATCTATACTATGTATAAAAAGAACCTCGAATAGGGTGTAAATATATTTTGCCATTTTTTGAATTTTGAATATACCCTTAGAAATTTTTACTCTAACTACATAATCACGTTTTGTCAGCATATAATTTTTCCTAAACATCATGCCTAGCTACCAAATTAATGATAACCTTATTAAAAATAAGAGTAATCTTTTATATATTATATATTGAAAATGTATGCACTGTTCAACCTAAATGCATATTACATACATAACACTTAGATTTCAAATTCAAATTAACATTATTTGTCATGCATCTAAGCCTAATAGTATATACACTGTTAGTTTATATAAAATTAATTATAACAAATTGTATTAAACCAAAGATTTTTACGATGAATTCATGTAAACAATTAAACTTATATAAAATTATTTTTTTAATTGCACATTAACTGGATATGCCCTTAACACTAATGATGATTAAACTCAAAAAATAAAAAAGATTTTACACTCTCGAAAAGTAATAAAAAGACAAACCGCACCTTCATCGACCAAAAGTCAATTAGTTATTTATTTATTTGGTGAGGACTGTCACGCGGTATTCAAACCAACCAATTTACTTTCGCCTTTCCAACTAAGAGATCACATAATTACGACCATCATGAAGTCATTTGCAGCAAAGATTTGAATTAAAAGTTTTACTCGAATATCAGTAGGATACTCATTACTCCATGAGACACTAATGGCGTCTTCACTTATTTGACCAGTGGATCTAAACGCATTTCGGTTTACTCGAAAATAAAATGAATAAAAGTTGTTACTTTCAAGCAATGTTTTGAAAATCGGACCAAATCGATTGGTTCAACCGGTTGAATCAACAAATCGATCATGCTTCCGGTGCGATTCAATTACAAAAATTAAAGGATTAATTGAACTTGTCACAACCGATCAAAAACCGGTTGAACCGGTAAAAATCGATAAAAATCTGACAGATTTTTATTAAGTATTTATTTTCTAAAATAAATGTTTTAGTTTTATTCAAAATTCTTAATACTAAAATGAATAAAAATTATTAAATCTTTGAATCGATTTGAACCGATTGAACCGTGAACTGAAAGATTTTTCAGTTTACTCTCCGGTTTGAGTTTAAAAACATTGCTTTCAAGGAACGGTCTCTCTCTCTCTATGCTGTAGTGAGCATTATGATCTTCATTTGCCGTCTGTCGGACCGACGACAAAGGATGCTCGGTCTCGTTAGGTCTATTATGGATTGGTGATATAAAGCCCAAATAAAGTGTAGCTTTGAAGGTTATGTCAACATTTAACAGTGCGAATTTAGTTGTGGCGCTATGCCTGTAAGGCCGGCGGACTATCTCATTTGGATTGGGAATTGGACGAAGAATTGATATTCGCACAAATCACTCTGATAGGATTATTTAAGAAATGTTTGAATTTATAATTCACCAATTATCAAAATACATTTTAAATACGGAATAATAGGTGATTATAATTCAAATACCTACTAAATAATGTAACAACTACTCACACTGTGAGTATTATCAAATCTTTCATCAAATCCCTCAATCCAAATGCAGTCTAAAGAAATTTAAAACAGGATATTACTAAAGCAACTAAAGAGAGGGTTCCATTGAAGCCTTCATTATTTCAATTTTGCATGGAACTACAAAATTTCTCTTTCATTTCTTCAATCAGATTGAGATTGAAGGCACATCGCAACTTAGTGGGATATTGATTAATTTTCTCTTGAAGTTTATTCCTAGATTTAAGGAATATTTGAAACTCTTATAAGAAGGGGCCAAAGAAGAATCCTTAAGAGTTCTTCTCACTTCCAGGTTCAAGATTTGAATCATAAGCCTAAGGCCCTGTTTGGACAGTTATTTTCACTGGAAAATTACGTCGTTTTTCGTGATCACATTTTCCTATTACCTTTTTTCCTTACATACATCAAATCGCTACAGTAATTTTTCTACAAAAAAATCCTAGAAAATGCAATCCAAACAAGACCTTATAGTTGGGGTAGGAAGGGTCTAGAAAGCTGAAAGGGGGTGGGAGGTTTAAACCAAAAAAAAAAAACTTATAAGAGGAAAGTGCATGGAGTGACTTGAAAATTGAACCAGGTGCATCCAGATAGCGTCCCACTAGATGTGCTGAATTTAGGAGACTTCAATCTATAATGGGACGGTGGGGAGACAACGGCCCAAGTCTTTGAGCAAGCATTCAGCCAGGGCACGGTGGAGGGCGTAAAGTGGCAGGCGAAGGAATCTTGCGTGGAAACTCGACAATAGCCCAAAGTATGATTGATAGCGACTGACCAGAGCAGTGGGGGCCAACCCATCCAACTCTGCGGCCTGTAATAATGGGACGTCCGCAAGTCACTTCCTAATTCAATTTTCGGAATGTACGCATCCCCAGGATCCAAAAGTGTGACCAAGATTTTTTAAGTTCAGACCAATATTTCTCATTTTTTTTCAGCAAAAAACAAAAATAGCATTTACTTCGCTTTAGTCCAAAAAAAAAAAAAAAAAAAGAATTGACAATTGCCAATGAATATTTGCCATAAATAAGCAAATGCCTTAATCGTATGCTCACGCTGACAAAGAGTCAGCTGTGTATAAATTAGATGTGACAGAAGCAAAACCACAACCCTCCCCCGCAAAAAAAAAAAAAAAATAAAAAAATCCCAGATTAGATTGGATTGATTACATACATTAGAAGTAGCAATTGCCGCCGCCTTGCTGAGAAGCTTCAGTTAAAGACCAAATAAAACCAAACCTAAGCCGAGTAGCAGACAATAGGCGTTGAGTCAACGACTCAAACAGCCCATATTAATATGAGTACTATTTTAAGGCAGAAAATTCCAACTGAATTTTAAGAAACTTCCCATAAAATTCGCATCCAACGGTAAGAAAAAATTGAAGTAACCTCAACTACTACTACTGGCTTTTCTTCTAGGGCTTCCACCGCTTCAGACTTCAATTCTCCCCATTTACTGCTTGTTGCCGGCCGCTTCTTCGTTTTTTATTTTTATTTTTATTTTTATCTCGCCAATATTCCTCCAACCATCGGTTCTCCGTTCACTTTCAGGTTCCTTCTTTACCGTACTGTCGCATCATGATTTGCTCTTTTTTGTTATACTACGTTAGTTCTTTTGAATATGTTATCAACTAATTAATTCTTATCTCTGTTGTATTGGGGCTTGGATATTAGATATGTTTTTTGCTTCTTTATTTATTTTTTCCGAACAAGAACTTGATGCAGTTTAGCATATTCTTGGTAGATTCATCATATGACTTGCTGAGAAGCTCTGTTTAAACTTAATTCGGATAGGCTACACTTCCGATTTGGATTCTGATAAAAAAAAGCCAAACGGAGCTTAAGTTTTACTGTCTGGTTTAAGCCTCTTATTTTCAGCTCTTGTTCATTCTTCATTGGATAATTCTTGAAATTGGTTTATTTGTCCGTGTTTCTTTTGGATTTTTTTTTTGGGGGGGGGGGGGGTCTTGTTAGGAAGATAGATGGTGGATTAACCTGCCGGAGAGTCATCAAATAGACTGCATCATCTTTTCTTTTATTGCAAAATGCATTCAAATATGGGATGTTAATTCGGATGACACTTCAAGATATCATCTTTTTTGGACATTGTTGGAACCTTGTCAGAACACATGACTTTAGAAGGACACTTCTGTTGAATTACCAAAAAGAATCACCATCTGCTTCATTAATGAGTTTGCATGCTGCTAACTCTTCGAGAATGATTGCAAGTTCTGTGAGAATTTTGTGTTTGCTTGGAAATATTTCCTTGGTTATGGTTAATGCTATGTAAATTGACTATATATTAGGTTATTGTTGAATATCTGTAAGCCACTAATTTTAGTCACTATTCTGTTTCGTTTTTCCTTTTATTTTCATAAGTAATTAATGTCCCTTAGCAACGTGTATTATGAGTCTGCCAGTGTGTTAGTAGCATAGAATAAAGTCTTTGTCTTGCCATTCTAATGCTTCTGTCATTGGCGCATTATTGAAAAGATATTATCTTTTTCTTTATCAGCTACTGAGAAGGGAGGGAGACCATGGCAGGGAAACTGCCAGGGATCCTTCTTATCATGAAAGGGCAAGAAATTCAGCTATAAATCCCGTGCAAGAGGAGCCTCTGTGTTTCACCGGCAAATGGTACTTCACTAGAGAAGAAATAGAAGACAATTCTCCATCGAGGAGGGATGGGATCTCCACAAAGAGGAGTCGCAATTCACGGAAGTTGTACTGTTCCTATCTACAAGAGCTTGCATGGAGCTCAAAGTGTAAGCTCCAAATCTAGTCAAGAAGTGTATCACGTGGTAATAAGAAGTGTACCTGATATGAAAGTAAATGAAAGCCTTACTTTGCAAAAAAAACACACACACACACACACATGAACAAAGTGGCACACACAGAGAAATAAAAAACACAATTTCCCCCATTTGGAAACCTTATGTGCAAGTAACCTCATACATCATTGTCTAGCTCTTGTCCTTTGAGATTGAGCTCATGTTTCTCAATCGACCGCAACTGATGTGGGACATCAGCCCAAGAATTCCAGGCCTAACCAAATGCTAAAGTTGAATGATCATACATTGAACTAAGAGCTTGTGTTTACGACTTAGTATAGTGAGTCCTGTATTACTCTACTTCTGTTAAAGTGAAGGAAATTCTTTCCCCTTTGGCTTCTCCTGCTTATGAGCAGGTTACTCAGAGTTTCTTGAGCTCAAATGTAGCTCTAGCCCATCATGGGACACTTTCCTTAACCCTTTCTAGAACCAAATTCAGAATTTTGCCATTTTCGGCACCATACCTACATTCTTTGACCATGGTAGTATCCGGCATTTTCTTTGTAACCATTACAGTCAACTGCTATTTTATCTATAACTAACTCAATCCTTGCTCTATTGGACAAGCTTGTCCAGGGCTTGGTTTTTATTGCTTTTTTTGCTTCAGGTTAAAGATGTACTTCTGTTTTATAGGCCCCAGGACCATTGCAACTGCAATGCTGTTTTTGTCATCGTTTTATATGCGTCAGTCTCATGCAAAGAATTATTGGCAGGTAAAAGTTATAGTTTATTGTGTCTCATTGATTATTCTTTTCTTTATAGCAGAGAGGACTTATGTAATGTTCATCATCATATTTCTTTCCATAGATCCTATCAGCATGTACAAACATTCATAGGTTGACAAAAATGTGCAAGCACAATGATGCATGTATTAAACAATTTATGACTTAAATAGAACACAAGTACATAGTTATGTCCTCATTTAGTACCTTATCTATCTGTATGATATATGGGGATGGTATAACAAGATTCAATATTAAACTTGTCCATATAAAAGGCCGAAGTAAGATGTAAGGTTCTTGTTTGTGGTTGAAATTTTCCAACACATATTCATAGCATGCCAGTAACTCATGCAATACATCAAACCCAAAGTATTTTTGAGGGTTGCCGTAAGGTAAATTAAATTGGATTGGGTGATAGAAGATATGAAAGGAAGCTGGCTACTCTGGAGATTGGTTGTGCATTTGGAATAGGATGGCACTTTAGCAAAGCACGCAAGATTATGTATTAGTTTGACATGTTCTCAAAGAATGAACCATGCTACTTAATAACTTTGACTAAAATGGAATCCAGATGAGAAAGTTGATTATTAACATTGTGATTTCCCTGAACTAAAATAGAATATTAATTTCATTGCAGCAAAATTTTAGTACATGGATCCTCTATTATGTTTGTAGATGAGATAGGATTAACACTACCATCGAGAGTTCTGGGTTAAGTTATTTTAGCCATGTCTTTCGAAAATGATATCATGATTTATGTCAGAGAGCTAGCTCATAGAAGTATTTAAACTCAAATTTATGGAAAAGCTGCTGGGTCCTAAAGAGATTTTATATTGTATCATCAGAGAATTGATATTATTGCTGCAAAATGGTCTCCAAAATAATGAATCTTGCTAGTCAGTAGTGTTCAATCTGTCTGAGTGAAGATTGCCTTCTTGAAACATCCAAATCTGCATGCAAAAAAGGAGAAAGCTACCACAGGCACAAACCTCTTTTGTACTTAAATGGTGACATTCTTTGTAATAGCGGCAACTTAAGTGCTGTGTTGGTTTTTGCAGACTATTGCTACTGCCAGCATGTTCTTTGCCAGCAAAGCTGAAGAGACGCCTCGCTGGCTGAGTGATCTTGTTGTTGTGGCTTATAAGTTAGCAAATAAATGGGATCCTCTGCTCCACAAAGAATTAGACAGAGGGTATGCAGCATTGTCTTTCGTTTTCAGTGCTGTGTTTTCTTTCATATCTGATTCTGGGAGTCCTTATCCTGATCTTTGTTTCTGTAGATATTATGATAAGCAGAAAGAAACAGTTGTACTTGGAGAAAGGCTTCTGCTGCTACAGTAGCTTTTGATCTCAATGTTGAACACCATACAAGCCACTTGTTGCAGCTGTAAAGAAGTTGGATATCCCACATAAGGAATGGTAAAAGTGGCATGGAATTTTTGTGAATGATGGTATGCTGTAGACATTGTGTCTAATGTGTTTCACAATGTATTAGTTCTATTTTCATAAGACCTTGACTGTTTGTTGTTTATGGACCTGCAGCTTCGTAACATTGTGTTTGCAGTACAAGCCACACTATATTGCGGCTGGTTCTTTATTTCTTGCTGCAAAACTTCAAAAGGTGAAGCTGCCCCACAACAAAAGGAAAATGTGTGGTGGCTGCAATTTGATGTTTCACCAAAACAATTAGAAGTATGTTATGCATGTGTTGTGTACACCCTATGGTGTATTTTCCTTTCTGTCTTTTGACTTTCCCATCTGTTCATGGATACTCCATCAGTATTTTGTTGATTCATAAATTTAAAGAATTGGTTATATATTTGTTAAGAACGGAGCTTCCAGTCTGTTATGGAGAAGCTGTGAGTTTAAAGATGTAGTCCACATTTGAATTTTTATGAACTGCTGGTCCAATTTTTGCCTCAAGCTCCAATTTTTATCAAGTTTCTTGAAACAAGATTCCAAATCATATAAAGAAAGAAAAAGCTGGACTTAATAATGTGACTGCCCTGGGCTGATGTCTTTGTTCCCATAAATTTTCAGTTGTCATTCAGCAGATGTTAGATTGCTGGATCAGAACCAGAAACAGGTATTGCCATCAGCAGTAAGTAACAAAACCGTATCCAAATCTACAAGTGGAAAGGCAACACTTAGTAGCCCAGAATCATGTATATCAAATGGTTCTATTGCTGCTCAAGATCCCAACAATCGATCGTTGTTGGACACTGATGGAGCTTCAACAGATGCTCATTCAACACGCTATCAAGCACAGCCATGCAATGGTCCATAATAATGCCAAGGAAACAGAAGGTTGCCAGATAAGTGATTGTGGTAGCGCAAACAGCATTGTTGAGGATGGTGGTGATGAGCTGAAAATGGGACAAATTGAACAGAACTCGGGTTCCAAGGGTGCTGCATATGATGCTAGCTACAACAAAATGGATGTACATCGAATTAGAGAGAGATTAAAGAAGAGGAGATTGGACAGGGGAACAGAAAAGAAGTCAGACATAGGCTGATTTAGAAGTAGGCAATGAGGCTTGGATAGAGAAAGAGCTTGAAAGTGGAGTAGAGAAGTTATCTGCCTCTCCGGAGAAGCGAAAAAGGGCTGATGCAAAAGACGCTTTCCACTTGCTGAGCAGGAAACATAACCAGGATAGAAGGTTTCAAAATGAATTTGTGAACTCTACTGTCTGAAGTGTTAAGAAACCTTCAGTTGGAAGGTTTGATTTCATCTACTTCGATTCGTAAGTACTTTAACTGAGTTATGCATTTCTGCTTTATAATGACGTCCAAGCCAAGGTTCTAATTCTGATTATCCATAATCTTGCTATTCAGATAAAGCCATGTATGTAGTCCAAATGTTGATGTATATATGCAAAAAAAAAAAAAAAAAAAAATTTATGCTGTTGTAGTGGTTTCTGTAAGGTAGTTTTTTCTGTGCAATGTAATATTATTTTTTCTCAATCAAAGCTGGGTTTTGCAGTTTTGGTTTTTGTTTTTGGGGGGGGGGGGGGTGGTGGGTGTGTGTGGTGGTGTTTGGAAAGTTAATATGCAGCGGGAAAGTTAATTGATACTTGCTCTTCCCGGAAAAATATGCTCACTAAGGGTCCGTTTGTTTCGGGTGAAAATGTTTTCCAGGAAAATATTTTCCTAATTTCCCGTGTTTGGTTGCACAAAAGTTATTGAAAACATTTTCCTATGTAAAATATTTTCACTCATCTTATGGAAAACAACTTCCCTTCCAAACTTACTGAAGTTGTTTTCCGAAATGCATGCATCCCGCCTGTAGTATGTTCCAAACTTACTAAAAACATCTTGTAATATGTTCTTTTTTTTTTAGTGTAAACAGGAGGACTCGAATCCAAGACCTCTTCCTTACACTCCCTCCCCCGTACCACCCAACCCAACCCTCCCCTAGTATATTCAAAAAAAAAAAAAAAAAAAAAAACCTCATCCTGCTCATCCTATGCTAGTAATTAATTATGTATAATAGGAACATTTTTTTCTAGAGAAACTTTCAGCAGTAAGAGTGCAAGATATATGTCACAATAAGCATTGCATGTGATTGATATTTGACACTAAATGGCCAGCAATTTGTTCATTGCTTAAGGAGATATTTTTTATTCATATATACATTTCTCCAAGATTTTTTAAAATTAAACAATGAGATAAATTTTCTTATTTTGCATGGGAAGAAGTATGTAGTTATAATGTGTAGAAAGTAAAGATAGAGATAAAAGTGAAAATATTTCAAAAGTTAAAAACAAACCAGAAAAATGAAGTAAGAAAATATTTTTAATAAGCTAACCAAACACCTGAAAATGATGAAAAGGAAATGATTTTCATGGAAAATTACTTCCACGGAAAATATTTTCCCAAGGAAAACATTTTACTTCCAACCAAACAGACCCTAAGAGAATATTGTGGCAAGCCTATAATACAGTTTCTCCTTCTTAGCTCAAATTTTGCTGTTTTTAGGTGGGTGAAACTTAGTAGAAAATTGCATTTTACACTTCATTTGTGAATGCATCCATTCCTTGTCAGCATAAGTAATAATTTGAGAACGAATTCAAACGTGTAACAGATGAAGAGCTTAAGCTTAAATCTATATCTGCTTAATCGCGTTTGAGAGAGTCCACGCTGATGCAACTGTAAAAGAATGTTAGGAATCCATTGAAAAGGTAACAAATTGCAAAGCAATAGCTGGGCAGAGTGCCTAATAGGTTAATATCAAGGCTTTCGGGAGGAGTGCATCATTTGTCTTTCCTTAAAAAGGAAGAATCACTTTTATCAATTCAATGCTAATTTTTCTCGTTCCCTCCTATTATTTTTCCCTCCACCTATTTATGGATGAGCAGAAAAGCTTGTGCAACCTCCTTAAAAACACAAACTCCCAACTTTTTTGCTCTATTCCTCCGGTTAAATAAATGTCATTGCATGCATTTACTGTCATATCTACTCGGTCTGTGATTGACATACATGTTGATGTGTCTGCCAAAACTTAACATTAGGGATGGCAGCGGTCACATACCCTCAAAAATTTCTCTTATCAAATATGAATCTGCATATCTAAATCTTTTATCATATTTATCAAGTAACTTTACGAGTTTTTAACTCTTATTACCAAATCCTCTCACTTCCATCCCGCATCCTCTAACCGCTAATTTGAATAGTTTCGAAAAAGGGAATTAATTTTTATCATACTAAAATCAATACATATCATGTTAAGTCAAAACACTACACTGAAGTTTAAACTTGAAGAGAGCCATAGAAAAATTCAACATTTTATGAAGGGTAAATTAATAGTCTTCCAAAATAAGATTCAAATAACTATCTTACATTTTCCAGCAAGAAATTGTACATAAAACGTGACAAAAAACAGTTTACAAGATAAACATGTGCTCCAACTGAATACAAATTAAAGAAAATAAGTGTGCTCTAAAGGTATCAATTCCTGGACACACACACACATGTGTCATGTGTGTGTGTGTCGAGTATTGGATAACGAGTTTTAGGATTCTCTTTTTAAATACTATCAGATTATCCATCGGCAACCCCTCATTAATATCAAATCCTAACAAGTTATCCATCGACTGTCAATCAAATTAACCATTGGATAGAGTACTTGCGGGTATCAAATTTTACTCTACCCACTGCCATCCCTATTTAACATTAATGGGGTCTATTTGGTTAGCATGATTCATTAAAATATTTTTTTCAAATATTATTCAATTTGTATCATAAATATAATTTTTAATTTTTTTAGTTCACATGTATCATATCATAAAAGTTCTATATGAAATGTTATTCCAAATAATTTTTTATAAATAATATCTATCCAATTGTAATTTTTGTAGCAAGTTCTTCATGAAAACTATGAAAGTTGGCTAATGATTTCCTTTCAAGATGAAAGATGCAATCTTCCTCTGCAAGCGTAGGTATTTTGGATTAAGCTGTCATGCTTTTTAAGAAAAAAAAAATTTATCGACAACGAACTAATGAAATAGTAACTCTCAGTATCGATTATCTCAGTTAAAATCACGAAAAGTAAATTCCAATTTTAGTCTCACTTTAGGGTTGGAAGTGTTGATTCCAACTTCTATCATACCTAAACAGTCGATTGGCGATCTTGGTTTAGTCTAGCAAATTAACGTGGAATATAAAGATCATGGACATGACGTGAAGAAGGTGTCCTAGCTAAGTAAGGTACGGAATAAATGTATCAATTTGCTATTGAACGACATTGCCTTGTGTGTAGGGTACCCTTGTAAAGCCATATATATATTTTTTGAAAAGCAATATTGACTGGCCTATACATGAAGATCAGTTTCATTTATAAGGTTTAGTGGACGTGAAAAGCAGGATGAGCTGGAGGGTCCTATTGCTGGATTTAGTGCCCTAATCAGATTATTTGGTATTTTCCAACTTGAGTGCTTTGTCTTAATTCTTCTTCGCAAACTTTAGACCTTCTTTTAAGGGCTATGCAAAAAATAAAAATGGCTTTTAGGATTCAAAGTTTACTGCAGATTCACATCGTGAGAAAAAAATAAAAAGCTTAGTGGGATGTTTTTCTTTCTGAACAGAACGGAAGTACGGGTTAAGGATCAAAGAATTCTATTTAACCTTAATTTATTCCTGGTTTAGGATTAAACAATCCTGTTGAACCTTAATTTATTCAGGATTAAAAAAAAAAAAAGCAAAGCAACTGAAAACGTTCCAAGTGTCAGTGGATCTTTCTCCATTGATCAGTGAATTTTTTTAATACTCGTTAGTCATGATATTTGTTTGGTCATAATGATTTTCTTTTCCAAGAACATAGATAATTAAAAAAAAAAAAAAAGAAGGAACACTCAGATGTGAAATCATTCTCTAATCACTGTGAATATTATGAAGTAACAAGATTCTAGTTTACATACTTACGAGGAACCAAAACCAAAAAAAAGAGAGAGAGAGAGAGAGCAATTGTCTGATCATGAAGAGGCAGGCCAACGAATTTGTCTGGAAGCGCATAGGCAAATGATCAACATCTTTGCAGCAGTTGTATTGCGGATTCTTCTACGTCTTCAAACTGGGTGAGGCTCCCAATTCTTCAACTTTCCCCCAAACATTCTTGAAGGTCATCGTCAGCTTTGATGACGATTTTGACGAAATTGTTGGGATGTGGATGATAAGCGTTTATATGGGTGGTGTAGCGACCTCTGTAGTGCAGCCGTGCTGGCTTGTCTCCTCACCCAAGTCGCCAGCGGTTTCACGACCCTCCTATACAGGCAAAGGCTGAGGGCCATCAGGAAACGCAGAAATACATGGTCGCGGAAGTGCAGGAAGGAATTTCCCAAATTTGTCCGATGACAGCCAGCAAGAAATACCAGAATTCAACACTGAGCGAGGTGTCATCACTTACTGGATAATGGTACTTGAGCATAAGTTTTTTCAACAAGAATATGAGAGCTAAGAGCACAACATAGCCAAGAAATAAAATTTCTGCAGTGATAGCCTTGTTAACGACGTCTTCGCCCGAGTGATTCTTCAAGAGATCTGATGCGGCTGCCAAAAACAAGATCCGAGCTGAGCTGCTGTGAGCTGAGCGAGCTGGTCAGGGACGAGCTGATGGGAGGAAAGCTAGCGAACTGAGCTCAGTCCTGGAACGCGATCCGAGCTGAGCTGCTGTGAGCTGAGCGAGCTGGTCAGGGACGAGCTGGCTAGGTGAACGAACCGACCTGCAGATGGACAGACGGCGGGGCTAACAGAGAGTGGCCGACCTGACGGGGAGAGAACGGACGACCTGTCCTGCAGAGAGAGAATTAAACGGAGAGGGGACTGAGGTCCCCGGAATAGCTCCGACGGCCAAGTCAGTTGAGCTTGAGAGTAGAGTAATAGTAGAGAATACTTATGTGTGCGTACCTTGAGTTGTCAAGTAGTGCTATATTTATAGGCTTAACGAGTAGTAGTTTCCATATAGGAGTCGGAGTCCCCTTAGGGTTCGGAGTCCTTCTAGGGTTTCGTATGACAACCCATAAAGGTCCGGAGGCGGCGGCCCATCAGGCCCACTTCATGAAGAGGCGGCGACTACGGCCGAACTGACCTCCCTCTACTCCGAGCTGCTCTGCCCAAGCTGCCATATCACAGCATCCGTAGATTAGTTGGCTGAGCTGACAGGTCATCATGTCCGAACTGACACGTGACTACTGGGAAATTTACCCCACTACACTAGCCCCCCTTTGAGTCTAGAGTCATAAAAAAGTCGCATGAGTCTAGACCAAGTTTCTTGGCGAAGAGTCAGTTCGGTGTGAGACCTATGATTCCACGATTGCGGCCCTTGCTCGAGTAACTTGTAAGACCGAACTGAATAGGACCAGTTCGTTCTTTTGTATGAACTCCTCCTTTGTAAAGAGACTCTTGTGGACTGAATAGACTTTTGTTTCTTCTATGCTTAGCAAAATTTTTCATTCATGTCTTTCT